CTCAAAAATCGTAGAACCGACAAACTGGCGCGAGCTTTCCACACTCTCTCTCTCTCTCTCTCTCTCTCTCTCTCTCTCTCTCTCTCTATTCGTATATTTTATTTTATCGATTTCTACATCAAACTGGTGATATAAATATTTCAGTTGAAGTACCCATATCACCAGCTATATCGTGCATGATTCGTGAAAAAAGAAAAAAAAATACGATACCGATAGATTAAAACCGAATGATTGGCAGGATATGGGATCGACGAGTGTTTATATATCCGTGACATTCTACCAGTCAGATTTGATGTATGCGCGATATATCCTAATATTTCTGAGCTCACCTCTCGATGGTGAAAGCCGTGATGGTGAGAACGGTGGCATTAGCCGAGGTCTCTGAAGCGAAGCTCTGAATAATACAGAATGCCTCGCCGAAGACATACGGATAATGCGACCATATGTAATACATCTCTGGCGGCAGTCCAAACACGAGTAGCAGCAGATCAGATACTGCGAGGCTAAAGAGATAATAATTGGTAGCGGTATGCATGGACTTGTTGCGCGCGATTACCACGCACGTGGAGATGTTGCCGATCAGGCCGGTGAAGAAGATCACGACGTAGATCACTGTGATTGGTAGCACGATGTACAGGGAATCCCGGCGGTCCAGCGCGTTTTCATCTCTGAGGAAGGCGATGATCGTGCTCGAATAGTTCTCGTATCGCGGATTCGCGTGGATGATACTGTCGATTGTAGAACGAAGCTCCTGAAGATTCCCATCTTTCGAGAGTCTCCAGGAATCTCCCGCACTTTGAAGGATACTGGTGATGTTCGCTATCGTATCCGAAATCATCTTGTTTCTTTTATTGAATTTTCTGATTGGCGAGAATACGCGTCGACTTCGCAAAGAAAATAAGTAGATTAATATTTGGGACTTTGTGACCGAACTTCAAATCGCCTACTGGAACGAGTAGATATCTTCGCGCTATTAGTATTTCTGCTGTGCTATTTTGGTTGCTTAATCTTATCCATAAATATTCCAAATCATCATAGAGACGATTTATTCTTTTATGGAATGCAATGATGATGTCTTCTCTGGACAGTATTGATGTTTTTGTGAAGATCCATTGATAAAATCTCGGCTTACACGTGCCGGATATTCTTGATAATTTTCAGTCTACATCTTGTGAATATTTTTACGAGTTGAATGGTTTCTTGCGATAAGATCCTAGCGCTGCTTCCTTCGTGTTGATCTGCAATTATAAGTTTTTTTTTTTTCAATTTGAAAACGGCTAATTTACGTTTTGCGTGGGCGAACGAACGATATAGTTATAACTAAGTTTTGAACGTAAGATTATTGTGTACTTGATCTTCCGCATTTAGCACGCAAAAAAATATTTTGCTGATCCAGTTGGAATTATAGCTGTTTTTTGTATCCAATAGAAAATTATGTATCATATGCATAGAATTTATAGCACAAATCTAAATTCTATTTCTGTCATTTATATGATTAGATGCAATACATATATATCCAATATCGCAGAATTTACTAGAAATTTATCTATTTTAGCTATGTTTCGTACTTAGATAATTTTCGTTGTAACTGCAAGATCACCTTTTTGAGTGAGTAATGATGTATTATAGAAAATAGTATGACTGATATGTGTTAAGGATTGATAGCGATTCCCGTTATCCACCGATTAACGAGAATAGACCGACGTGTAATATTGTTCTCTCTATTACACGTTTTCGCGGTCGATGTAGCGCAAATTTTTAATAACATCAACGTTATAATTTTGTATTCAATAATGTAACTATTATGTAACAAAATATGTTCAATTTATTTTGTTGAACGCGAAATTAGAAATGTTATGTTACTTTTAGTTGGTGTCGACTAGGACGTTTAACACCGCATACGGAAAGAATAACTTTGCTAAAAGATCCATAAATTTAGCTAGATTATAAATCTATGTAGCCAAATTTATATCATCATAAATCTATAAATTTAAAAATAATTTTGTTGGGCCATAAAAATAATTACGTAGGAAACTCAAGCATGACGAGTTATATTGCAAAAAGTTTTTCTTCTAAAGAGCACAGGTCTCTACATAATGCATAATGTATAAGGCATAAGAAAGTCAACCAATCAAAATCTTTTATTTCATGAAAAGGAAAGGAATGAAAGATTTTGGTTGGTTCATTTTTTTTTGTATTATGCGTTATATAAATGTTTGTGTCGCGACCTTATAACACTCAGTTTGAGCGTCCTATATATTTATTTTGACGGTCTAAGAATATTATTTTCAGATTTGTATTTAGTTAAACTTTTAGATATTTTAGCTAGAAAACTGTTTTTTCCGTGTATCTCTAATCGTGATTTGAAATAAACCGGTTATCTCGCTACCTCATTTAGTGAATCTCGCAATCATTTCATTTTAGTCAATTATCCATGTCTGTTATGTTAATCATATGATAAATCCTAACGTAGGGTTGCTAATGCAGGCATCTGCCTGTGACGTGTACGCTGTGTGCACACATTGTAACAGCTTTATTCATCATGTCGACGGATCATTTCTATTTTCCGTAAACACTGCTTTTCACAATGATGTCATTAACGCTTAAAATTATTTACGAAATTTGTCGCTAACGAGAAGTGGATACCTTCAAAAAGATTTTGATAATATATGATGTAATTTCTAGCCATATATTCCTGTTTGTTAACAAATATCCGCTTTCCACATTGTTACAATTATATTAACTGCTCTGACAAGAGTATCACCTTTCAAATATATACTCTCCTTTTAACGCATTACCTTTAGCCTGGTCGTTTTCTCAGCCATACATATACTCCATTACCCATTCAATCTTCAAACTATCACGTTTCTCTAAAAACGACAAATATTATAGAGATAGATATAGATGAAATGCGATAATCCTATTAATCGAAATGAAATCACGGCATTAAGCGTAAAAGTAGTTTGACACATATAAATTGATATTTTTTTATTGCAACTTTTTATATATTGTAGTACATTTTAGCATTAGAATTATTGATGATTTATTTTATTAACATATTTTATAAATATATGAATTTTATAAACGTGTTATAAATATATTTTTGAAAAAAGAAATAGTGGATAAATTCGAATAATTAAAAAAAAAGAGACAAACCAATAATATTTTATATATAATCACTTGGTACTTTTTAATTAAAGTAAAATTTATTAAATTAAATTATGGTACTTTTTAATTTTATAATATTTCAATATATATGTACACAATATACAGAGCTTGCACGAAAAATTTTAGACAGACCGATTGTATTATATTTCCAATAACAATAATAATATTTTCAGTAATTATTTTCCGATTGAAATCGATTTATCTACTTAAACAATCCTATCGATGCAAAACAATTCTGATTTCATCCACAAACCACGTGAGCTGCAGATGCAATCGACAATTGTGCTCCGACAAAACAAAACTAGACATTCCAGCACCTTACAAAAGCCACAAATCACACACGGCACACCACCTTGCATTCTCGACGGAGTCCTAAACTCGTTCTGCGTCATCACGTTCGCGAATCGTTTCCACGCGCGCGCGAGGATCCTCATCTCTGCGCTTGTTGCCTTCACGTTGATGTTGTAATCGACGACGCGGTGCTTTCGTGAACATTGTTCATCGAACAGAACGGAAACACATGGGGCTATTTTTGAAGCAGATCGCGCTCCCAACTGACATCTAACATTGTCTAATTGTCCCCAATGAATCGTTAACTTCTTCGTCGTCAAAACATTATCCGGAAACCGCTCCGCAAAACTAGTACGAGAAATTCTCTGATTTATCTAGCTTACGTTCCGTCGTTTGTACAATTTTCGACGCGAAATGATTTCTCTCGGGTATAATTCATCTATATTCCGGCGCATCTTGTTAATGAACTCTCCAACATGCTTCGAACATAAAGCTGATTTTTATTATAAACTGTATCTTTTAATTCTTCTTTATACACATTAGACGTAACAAATTTGATTTTTTTTTATAATACAATATTATCATTTTAAAGCACACGATTTTTAATTCTGCTTTAGTTATTGCATGTTAAACGCAAAGAATGCCTTTGTTATCTCAAATAATTTACATTTTAATAACAGAAAGCTATGATTGGATTATAAATAGTAACGCATATACAATATAATTTGGCCTACTTGCATCACATTAAATTTTAATGAAAAGTGCTCGATGAACAAACAATTGATTATTTATTTTAACAAAATTTTCGAAAATCTTCTACATCGAGTGTCTTTCACGTACCACACGTGATTTTTCTTATTCTTGAATTTTCCGAAGTTACAGAAATGTCTTCATTTAGTTGACTGACATGTCTGCGCTTAGTAATTTATTGTTACACATTTTCAGACGTTGACTTGCTGTTCGGTTAGTAGATCACGGTCGCACTTTGTCAAGCTTTCAAGATTTAGAAACGCTTTAACTCTATAAAACAGTATCTATTTATTGTCTTTATTCAAATTTTATTTACAAAACAGCGTATGCGAGACTTTTAAAATGACAATAAAAAATTATTTAGTACAATCACATACAAGACATTTTATATTTTCATATCTCGATCATATCTCGATTACGATAAATAAAGTATAGTAGAATCCCGCTGCGTTGCTTTCGGTTAAACTTTTGAGATCCATATAGTCAGAATCTTTTACGTTACATTATATAAAATTGAGCCAATCTCGTAACGCTTTATGTGGGATTCTATAAACGTCGCTTTTCTCGTATGACTCCTATAAAAGAAAATTGTCTGCGTGATTACATTATCACGTTCTTGCACTTCTATCTTAAAAATATTAATAATTCCCAGTAATATAATACAATACAATGTATAAAACTCTTTTCTGGAACAACAAACGGTTCAGATTAACGCGCATTGATCCTTATTATTAGAGCAACACGCAATGTTATAGTTCCATTAACGTACCGAGCTCTTTATTGGAACAACTGCTATCGATTGGGAAATTAATCCTTCATGCGGGAGAGGCGTCAACGCTCGGGGACATAATTCAATCTGTCATCTGATCCGTTGGATTCGTATTATCACCGAACTCGGCCCAAATATGATAGAGAAACGCGAGAATGTGATGTCGATTGACAGTCATGGATGATAATCGAGAGCGTTAAATCGAGTTTTTTAAAACAAAACCATCGAGAAAATGCAACCTCGACCGATCAGTTTCTGATTACAGTGATGTTCATGTGAGATTGGTGCGGATACTTGATAATGCGTGCACATAGCAATTTCCCGGTCAATCGAGATCAAACCCAATGTAAGAATCGTTCGAAGTTATTTCGCAAATTTCGAATATCATTTTCGTATTAAATTTGGTGAGTCTCGTAATTAATAGAATTTGATTCCGTAATCTTGAATTGTGTGTGTGTGTGTGTGTGTGTGTGTGCGCGTGTGTGCGCGCGCGCGCGCGCGCGCGTGTGTGTGTGTTAGCTTCAATTTTATAATTTTAGAGTTTTATTTTTGGCTAGCACGATGTATTCGAAAGAGATGCTTTAATTGAGATGATGCAAATTGAATAGGTACCAATTATAATTGGATTATGACTTTTGTATGTATAAGGCGCTTAAGTCATAAATTTTTAAGATTAATTAATACTAAATTTTAATTAGTAAAATTTTCTGACAGATTCTTTAGAATTGTTGTAATTTTTAAATTTTTAAATTTATATAGTTTTGTAATAAATTGAAGTTTCGATAAAATAATGTCCTTTCTTCACTGATATTAAGATGTATTCTTATTTTTTATTATTACAAATCACTAAGAGAATTTATAAAATTAGAACAGCTGAAAAAAAATCTGATTATATTTTTGATTTCTCATTTAATTTTTAACGCAAGCAAACAAGCTTAAGAGAAGTCAATCAAATTATTATATCGTACGTTTTGTGAGAGTAAAATAATTTAATTAATTGTGATAGAGAGACGATTGCGTTTTGTAGAATTATATTTATTTTAGAGAACTCTGTCTTTAAGGTTAAAATTCCTATCAAACAATATTAATCTCTCTAACAAGATATTTTGCCGTCAGTAACGAGATAATTTACAAATAAAATAATTAACGTTTTAAATATAACTTTACAGCTCTTCCTTGAGTTTATGTTTGGTTTTGTTATAACAGAAGATCAATAAAATTGAACATTAATATTTGTTATAAAAATATTAAACTATTATTAGCAAGAGAATTTATTGTGAATATTATGGAACTCATTATAAATTTCTGCTTCAGTTTTATAACAGGAAATATGTTAAAAAAGAATTTTACTGATAAGACTTTGTGAGCTCTTTCTTCATTTACAAGACAATTTCTGTAGTATCCAATTATTGGAATCTCTCAGATATGATCGCGTGCAATATTCATGATTGCAGTTTTCAGTGCTATTGAAACTGTTAAATATCGATAACATAAACTGTCTATTAATAAATTGGAATATCATACAATTTGTATTTACCATGTAAATTTACTGTAAAGTTATTTTCCATATTTCCTCAAGCTGTAATGTATTCGATATACCGATTTTGCTTGTTTTATTTATAATTTTAATTACAGAAATAATTATAGCTTGGATTATATGTATTTAATTTGATGCATATGCGATAATATAATGCTTACTCCAATTATTACAGTAATACCATAAATATAATTTTCAGTATAAATGTAAATAATGATTAATTTGAAATAAAAAAATACATGTTTTTTGTTTAAATAAACTCTAATCGCTGCATCTATAATAAATTCCATCTATACATTATGCATTAAATGAGGAGGAAAGATCTTGCGGACTGAAAGAGATCGAATGTACCTGACAGAGAAATGCAGATAACCGTACTCGGTAGGAAAACAAAGTTATTTATCATAAACGAGCAAAGTTATTTATCACGACCGTTTTCCTCGTTCATCCCTTTAGTAAAATAAATAAAAATGTTAGATCATTTTTTAAACTTTTTTGAAGTTTCCTAATTTTCGCGCAACTCGCGTATCAAGATGTACTAGTTCGTTTCTTTTTCTTCGTCTATGCTGATCGTATATATCGTTTTTGTATCAATTAGTTTTCTTTCATTACATATATTCAATTAGGTTTTTTTGAATCAATTAGTTTTCTTTTATTATATATGTGCAATTATTTTTTTGGTATCAATTAATATTTTTGTATCAATTAGTTTCTCGTTTTTATATATACAGAATTGCCTTACAAAAAGTTACAGAGATAGTAATAATCTATCGTGATTCTATTATATAGAGAGTAATTTCAAAAAGAGCGTCTGATGATATATTGTTGGAATGTATTATTAAATCAATGATATAGTCACTTTTAGATTATTTTCTAGGAAAGGAACGCGTCTTCTATCCATGCCATCGTTTATCATGAGAAAATATTCGATCACATAAATCTTGACGACGATCTACTTCGAAACTGGAGCGAACTCGCACGTATTGAGTAGCATGATGCATGCGACAATAATAAATTTTAATCCGGACCTGCATGTCTGGCATCACCTGTTGCATTGCAATTTCGCAAACATTCAGGAGACAATTTTTAACTCATTGTTTTCAATTATTGGATACGTCGATAAAGTTTTATTTCCCTTATTAATTATAACAATTTTAATAGCACTAATCTATATTCATTATAAATAAGATTTGTATTTAATGCTGTAAATATATCGTTTCCTTATTTTAAAAATAACATAACTGAAAAAATAAGTTTCCCAGAAAAAGGGAAACTATTTTTTTAATTTGATAGAAAATTATAGACTATTATATCAACAAAAAGAATATATTTTTAACATGATTAATTTTTGTCATTTTTGTTTTATAATTCTCAAAGAGTCTCTCTTTTTGAGTTGTAAAAAATTTTTTTTTAAACTATTCTTTTTGAGTAATGTTTTGATAAAGTTAAGTTCACTTTTGATAATAATGTTTATTTAACTCATTCAATACTCAATGATATAATTTGAAAATTTTGTTTTTTAGTTGTGTTATACTTTTGAAATAAAGAAGCGATATAGGAGTGTCGAGAGAGTTCAAATTTTTATCACCATAAAAATATGCACTTACTTAGAAAAATACCTAATAATTAAAAATATTATTAAGATTTATTTTGAAATGTGTATAATACATTATGTATTATATATTATATTTTGCATCATGTGTTACCTGTAAAAATGCACCCTGCAATAGAACGCACTTCCTTGCACTCGTGTTGATTTCTTTGATTTACGGTATGTCATCACTTGTATGTCTCTGTTCATTCACTACAATAAAAATAAAATGAGAACGAAGGCCAACCGTTATTCTTGTGACAGTATTAATATCGCGTGACATGAATCATTGTTTCAAAAATATATGTAAAAATATATAAATAAAATAAACATATATCATTTCTCTAAGAGAACAACAATACCTTGAACGCGGATTTTAAGTACGATTTTTAGGTTCTATTCTTATTTTTACTTTTGTTTCTTGCAAACGAAACTATTCTGATTATACACGAATTTTATTTAATACGATAATTAACCGCAATATTTTACTTATCGCGATATTTTATTTTGCGTCAGTCTGTCTATAATAATTTAATCCTTCACTTTTTTTACGCAGTTTTTATAATTATTGATGTGTACTTGTTCGACGACGACTATCAAATTCGATAAAAATTAAAAAATAACACATGCTGCATCACAGGGTCGTGCCTTTGTGTTTTATTCTTTTTCACTGTATCACGAAATCAGAACGTCAACATCATGCCGGGGAAAAAGCCGAACTCCATTTGGCGTGGAAATGTCGAATCGCCCCTCGAACCTAGCGCGTGCCGAAGACATCCATGGTGGGAGTTTTGCGCCAGCGCGAAGATCTCGACTATCTATTATCTATACATTTATACTGTATCATTGTGTGAAACTCTATGGGAATATAAATATTTTATCTAATTACTATAAATGTAGATATATTATTTATAATTATATATTAACTTTATATTGTTATAAAGTTTAGTATCTTATATTTTATCTTATATTTTAAATTTACATAACAAAACAGTAACAGCATCAAGCCTGTCAAAGAAATTTTTGTTTATTTAACGTTTAAAAGATTTAAGTATAAGTTTTTAAGAACAGTATTAAAAATTAAATATTATTAAATGTTATAAATGATTTTTTAAAATTTATGTATATAAATTACAAATTTTACGCAATTAATTTATATTTAATATTACATTTTATTATATACGTCTGAGAAAAGGAAATTTTGACAGAAAAGTCAAGAAAGTCGCAGCAACGCAATTATAGAAATCCTGCAGGCGCTTTAATCGTAAACTTGGTTCGTAAACACCTGCTGCATTCGCGGGATCCAAAGTGACGCAGTAAAGGGAAATTTATGGTGAAGATAAAGTTAAGCTCTCTTCGCTGTCACGCAAAATCACACAGATATCTCATTCATTTGAAAACTTCCGCTTTCCCCCTGTAATAGTGCTTAATTGGCAATTTCAATGTTTTCAATAGGGTAATTTTTCATTAACGACTTTTCCTCGGTAATAGTATCCATTCTTTTGCATCGCTGCTTCCGGCCAAATGGCTTTTAAAGATCGTCTTCCAATATCGTGCATCTTACACGTGTGACCTTTTTCTCCATTTAAGCTTATCGTACTTTTCGTATTCGTCAGACTTCCACTTCGATGCGACAAAGTGCATTTTCTGACTGGATTAAAAACCATTCCTTCCAGGAAATTAAAAATCATTTGACGTTACGCATATTTACGCTTGAAATATTCATATAAAAAGGTATCTTTAAAATTCAAATTATTCTTTTTCTCTCTCTCTCATAATTTATCTCTTCAAAAAATTCTTGCAAAAGATTTAAAAATACTAGCTAACTTTACAAAGTCTTTAACAATACAAAAATAAAAGCCATCTTTGAAATCGTTTTAAAAAGGATTTTAAAAAGGATTACCATAAAATAAATTACAAAAAACTCCCTCGTTAAAAATTATTTTTCTGTAAAAAATAATGCGCAATTTTATACGTTGATATCTATTTTATTATATGATTTCCATTATTTAAACAAAAAGTAATTTGATTAAATATT